GTCTGCAATCCATTCAATAAGCTGAATGAATTTCATTTTAAGACAAATCTGAAGGCAAGAAAATTATAAAACCATTTATATCAAATAGCAATGACATCAAAAACATGCCTTTATGGAAAAAACTGAGGAAAGTTGCAAGGTAGTATCACTTAGATGTAATGCTCTGCTGAGAACTGGATTTTTAAACTTTTTTCAGGAATGTTAAATTTTAACTGTACAAACATGATTATTTTTTAGCTTGTCTTCAGTTTTGTAAATGAAGGAATGATGAATAAAGGAGGAAAGGAGTACAGATTATCTGGCCAATCTTAGGAGAAACACAGAAGAAGAGCAAGGATGAGTTTTTTCTTTTTTGCTAAATCTATTAGGGTAATGATTTTTCTATTTTGCACATTTGCTAATTTTACATTTAAAATTTGTTAAAGAATAAAATAGTAGAGTGAGAATCAATATGCAGAAATAATGGTTATCCCTTAGCAAACACTGATATAGGGCAGATCCCAAGATACACATACTAGTTAGGGAAGAATATGTATGTCTGTCGGCTTTGCCTTTGTTTAGGTCATATGACTTAACATTGTTATTCCTGAGTCACACTAAGATATCTAAAAATACATTGAACCTTTTGGCAGCATTTCTACTGAGAATACCAAACCATTCTACTATTCTGCCTGTGGCTCAAGTTTTCGCTTTTTGTTTAACTCATTGCATTTTTATTCCTAAACCTCAGACTACCAACTGGTGAGCTTGAATAAGTGAAGATCAACATGTTAGATAAGTAGAGCAGACTATAACCTTGATTTCAGAAGGAAGCCTGCATATTCATATAAAAACTTAGGAGGTTCTGGTTCTCTAATGGTTCGCTTCATTCTTTATAAGAGAAGACAATGTTTTATCTGAAATATAAACTCAAAGAACACAAATTACATATGTGAACTAAATTTTAAACCTAGAAATTATCAATGAATAGCACATTTTTCTTATTTATTCTCTTACATATAATACATGATTTGGGAGGTAGCATCATTGAAAATCTTATCTGTTGCTGCATCTGTCAGTGTACAACATAAAAAACAAATGTTTTCTCAAATGGTATGATAAATGTGCAAACTGTGAAGAAATAAGATCTCTCTTTTCTGCAGTCTTTTAGAACCAAATCACCCACTTAACTCCTTGTATTTTATACATAAATTAAAGGGAAAACAAAGTATGTTGTTCTCTAAAGGTTAAAAAGTTAGCTAAGTGGCGCTGGAGCTCCTTGATATATTACTGAAGACGTAGGTCAATGAACACAAGACACAGACTAAATTATATGTCTATAAAGCACAAATATAAAATTCTTATTTTCTATTAGTATTATAAGAGGTACAGAGGAAAGAGATTTATAGATAAATTAACTGTATCCTTGGATTTCACCTCATATGGTTAAGTATGTCTAATTTGATGAATGACGCACAATTAATGCATACATAAAAATTTAAATATCATAGCATATAGATAAAACATCTATTTTCAAATCTGTCATTAAGAATTTTGAGAGTCACAAATTTACCGTCAGTAAGAGGTAAAATTGTATAATAACCGAAGGAATATAATTACATATAAATTCCAACACCTATAATCTATGTAAATAAAAGATATAGTAGATAGTATAATTATTGAGTGAGAAAATAATTGCTGAGACCAGATGTATTCCATATATTCTCCCTAAAGTTTTTGAACTAAGAAAATTTTGTATCACATTCTCACAGCATAAAATGCAAATAAACAAATGAGAAATGTTTGAGCTTACTACAGATATAAAAGAAATATAACTCTAAAACTGCTAGAGGTCAGAAGTGCCAAATTCTTGTTCCCCCGAATATCAAAGAATGAATTCCAAGAGACAAGAGAATTAAGAGCAGGAAAGGTTCAGTGAGAGTTATCACTGAGAGACACAAGGGGTTTCCAAAAGTGGGTTACCACCAATGCCCTTTGTCAAGAGTAATATGTACAGCAAAGTTACAATGTGGGCACAACATGGGTCAAACTACAATCAACTTGTAGGATTACAAGTATATTTGCTTTGCTAATATTAATCCACAAGGGAATTGAATCATGTAGCAAAGGTACATGGAAAGAAGAAAGACATTTTTGGGAAGGGGTGGGTCCAGATGCTGTGGTCACCTACCTGGGCAACTGACACCCATCTGGACTTACTGGACCGTGTGATGCTGATTACAGTGTAATTCCAAGTGATTGTTTAGCCTTCAGGGAAGTGTGTATGCCTGGCATTTCATCTCTATCTTGAGATCTGGCCTTCTTCAGATTTGCCTTCAGCCACAATTCTGATGTCTTTATTTTTATGCTGACTTCCTTTAGAGTCCAGTCCTTCTCTGACTGTTTATTAATTTCTATCTAACTTAGCTGCCTATGGTACTACTAACAATTTAAATCTAAATATTGTTATTTCTTGTATCAAATATGTAAAAACTGAAAATATACAGTGCTAGAAGAAAACCCTAAAGGAGCCATGTCAAACTTGAGTATTCACAATCTTAAGAGAGAAAGGGAGAGACCGTGAGAAAGAGATTTGACATTATGCATAAAAAACCTTAAAAAAGTCAATTACCACTGACTTGTTCCTATTCCTATAACTATATGCTTAGAATCAAAGCATGGAGTCAATTATTTATATAAAAGCATACAGGTTTCAGTTTTACTTATTTTATATATAAAAAAACCCTAAAAGTAATCTAAGTCATCAACCATGGGGAAGTAGAGTTCTTCCATAGGATAAAATTATAGGTACCTTTTTTTTTGTACTGGAGATTAAACTCGGATCCTTGTGCTTGCAACGCAGGCCACCGAACCGCTGAGCTAAATCCCCAGCCCTACAGGTACCTATTTTTAAAATTGCTTTCATGTGATATTTCATGGCAGAGAAAAGTTACCATGGTGTCATGTTAAGTGTAATGGGCCACATACAAACTATACATATGCTATAATTACAAATTGCACACACATAAACATATGTAAACACAAAGGCACAATAAAAATTTTAAAATATTAAAAAAATTTAATCATTAGGATTAAAATAATTTCTAACATGTTTTCATAGTTTATTGTGAGTGAGTTACTTTTAAAGAATAAAGCACTATCGGGGAGCGAAAATCCCATAGTGATCACTCAACTACAACATATACTATTAGAATGTCCTCTTGCAAGTTTCATGACAGCCTTACCCATAAATCTTTCAAAGAAAGAAGAAAGGGTCTCTTTCTCTTTCCAACCTATAGGGCATTTCTCTGCTTCATTATGCAGGAAGGGGCTTTATTCATTCAAGTGGTTGGCTTGTACACACAAATTTTAACTGAATATAGTATACTTTCTATTTATAGAATCACCCAAATTAAAAATATGAAAACCTTATTGCAACAATTTTCCTTTTCCAGCAATTATCCCCCCGTGTACCTGGGAAGCAGCCCATTTTCTTCAAAAGATTTTGCCAGTTATTAATGTAAAAGTGGCAGCTTAGCAGCAGGAAATAGAGAGGGCAATACTCGTAGTCAAATAATATGATCATCTCTACATATTTTAATGTCATGTTTATCATGTTAATGGAAGGTTTTTAAACACAGGCTGGCAGCACTGCATTCTGACTTAAAGAAAAAAAATGATGAAGTTTTCTTTTGAAAAGTGGTTTTTATTACCTATTCCTATCAGAGTCCATGTGCCTTCATTTTTAGCACTGCCCAGTATCTTTCCTGAAATACCAGAAGCATCATCTCAGCTGCTCTTCTTACATTTTCAAAGCATTAGTCACACATAGCCATTCCCCTTGTGAAAAAAGTTGAAAGGCTCTATTTTTAGGCAATATTATGCTACTTCTTGCCAGAGTAGTGAATAAACACAAAGTAAAGAAAAATATGTCTCATTTCTTTTCCTTCTCAAAAACATGGTTGTTTACAGATATTGTTAAGGGTTTAGGTTTCTTTTATGCAATATTTTAATTTAAATTTAATTTAACCATTATAGATATCATGTTAGGGATATTAATACCTGCTAATCATGAAATCATAGAGTACAAAGTACCTTTCAAATGTCACCGAGTACAGACCCAAAAGCCAACTAGGGTATACACCTATTTTTGCACAAATATATGAAAAAGTTTCTCTGACTTTATTCAATAATTCATTTTGGCATTCTGTCTGTATCACAAGTGCAACATCCTGAGTTTGATCCCTGGTACTGAAAAAACAAAAAATTAAAGTTCCTCCTATTATCACAGCTAATTCCCCACTATTGCCATATGAACTTATTTGCAAATCTCAGAGAATATGTACTGAAGCAAAATTATTTTATTCTGACCATCTCAACTGTTTACTCTGCAGATTAAACAGACACAGATTCTTCAACTGTGCCCTTGGCCTCTAAGCTATAATTCAAGTCTAGTCATTTTTTCCCTTTTTTCTAATGCAACATCTCCATATTTTCTTTCTTTGCTAGCATCCAATAGAATTAGAAATAAAAGAATGCAAAATTAGCTACATGATTCACTTTGGGTGTATAAATGAATGTATATGGTCCCTCAATGTTAAAGCAGACAGATACATGAAAGAACTGAATTATATGGAAAAGATATTTGAAGAATGCACTATATGGGCTACATAACCTAGGAATAGATATCTATAAATTGTTATTCTATTCCTAACATTAGAATTAGAATATTTTAAAATTATTTTAGAACTTATTGATGAGATTAAGTTTACATTTTATGTTCTAAAACACAAGTATATATCTGAAGATTAATGAATATTACACTACTTATGTCATCTCACTTATTTGGGGTCCCTCCTTGACTAAAGACTGAACAAATTAATTGGAATTTTCAATAGTTTCATCACCTTAAAACATACCCATACCAGATAAGAGAGCATTGAAATAGGTCAGGAAGAAGTCATAAAGGGGCTGGTGCTGGGCAGGCAGGACGCTGAGGGGACACTCTCTGGGAGCCTTACCTGATGTCTGTGCACACTATGCAAGTGATGTCCCGGCTGTTGGTTGTTATTAGATTCAAAGCCACTGATTTGTCCTGGTTGGAGGTTGGGTGTGCTCCACACTTGAAGAAAAATTCCTGAAAGAATGAGAAACATAATCAGACCAATGGATCCCAGCAGGCTAATTTCCCTTATCTAGATATATTGATAGAAAATGATCTCTGTACAAGAGAAGAAATTTGCCATTTCTTCTGAATTAGGAATAAATCAGCCTCATATCTTTACAGGAAAAGAAAGCCCTTGCCTGGTGCCAAACTAGTCAACAATTCCCTCTTATAGGGAAGGCACTAACTGAGCTTTCTTCACTGCTTTGAGTTGGGAGCACTGGAAACACTCTGTGCCCATCTTTCTATCACACGTCTTAAGAATAAGAGAGTCTGGAAGGAAGAAAGAAGGTAGATGAAAGAGAAAGCCTAAAGCAACATCAAAAAAAATTTTTTTAAACTTTTTCATTTCTTCCTTTTCTAATTTTTATGTCTTTTCTCACATCTCTTCTTTTCATTCATACAACAGGGTGTTTGGCCAGTCATCACTGGACTTCTCAAGTAATAGATACTTTTCATGACACTAATATCCAGGAAGCCAAATTTTCTGCTACTTCAAAATATCTATGTAACTATGTTTCTGAGCAGCAGAAGAACCCTACATATCACATTATTTCCTCACTTGGCTTGAGTATAACTACCTGGAATACAGAGTATTTTCCCTTTATAGTGCAAATGAGATGTTGGCAAACTTCTGTGGAAAGTTCAATCTAATGAAGGAGACAAAAGACCTCTACACTGAAAAACTACAAGACTCTGAAAAAAAAGCTTGAAGAGGATATAAGAAAATGGAAAGACATCCTTTACTCCTTGGTAGGAAGAATCAATATAGTGAAAGTGGCCATACATCCAAAACTGCTATGCAGATTCAATGCAATCAAGATTGAAATCTCAACAGTATATTTCACAGAACATGAGAAAACAATACAAAAAATCATTAGGAACTGAAGAGACTTAGAATAGCAAAAGCAGCCTGAGATCACCCGGCGGGTGCGCGACTTCCCGGACTGTGTGACAACAGACCCAGCAAGGACCCAAAGACCCCGGAGGGTGTCTCTTCAGGTGCCTGCCTGCCTGCCTGCCTGCCTGCCTGCCTGCCTGCCTGCCTGCCTGCCTGCCTGCCTGCCTGCCTGCCTGCCTGCCTGCCTGAGATCATCTGGCAGGTGCACGACCTCCTGGACTGCGTAACATCTGACCCAGTAAGGAAGGTAGCAGCGCGGGCGCCCTTGAAACACCCCCACGACCTTCCCCCCCATTCTCAAACCTCCTTATTGGGCCAGTTCTAGACCAACAGTGCAGAGGCATAGGTTCTCATGAAGGGTAGTTTTCTGACCTCCCAACTTTGAACATCTTTAAAGAAAAGGCAGGGGAAACCTGTAATAGAACTGAGTGGAGTTCAACCCTGAGGGTAGGGAAACTCAAGTTAGGCCTTGTAGACTGTGTTCAGTCTCGGTAGTGGGGAACTGCCATTGGCTAGCTGAGACCAGGGGATTCAGTTCTGCATATGGCTATACATGTGGTATAATATGAGAACAGAGACAGTTGGAAAGAGGCCCTTCAAATTCTTTTTTTTTCTCTCTCTCTTTTTTCTTTTCCTCATTCCACCCTAAAATTTCTTTCGTTTTTCTGTCCTCTCTCTCCACTCAGTCTCTTGCTCCACCATATTGTCTCTCATCTCCCTTTTTATTCTGGCTTCTGCCCTAACTCAGACTTCTTCTTTTATTATTTTTTGTTTTTGGGAGGGGTTTCTCTTTATGTTCTTTTCTCCAGTTATTTTACCTCACTCATGGCTCTGTACCTTCAAGGGAAGGCAAGCGCATGTTATTGTTAAGGGAATATATTCTTGTCCTTATTGCTGCACTCTCTCTATACCCCCTGAAGTTAATAGCTTTGTAAAGATAGTAAGGTAATTCTACAACCTCTGGATTCACTTCAAACCTGCTCTAATTCTTTCACTTATCTAATCCTCTTGTTCTAAGTCGAACCACCCATCCTAAATGGTAAAGATGCCATATTGAAAAGAATATTCACTGCAAACATACTATGAGCTGCTTCTTGAAATTAATCTAATTCACATGAGTTAAAGGTGATACATTAATGACTACCACAAGTGGTCAGTTTGCAAGCTGTGCCTGATCCTATTGGGCTGCTTAATGTATCAATTGGGATACAAGGTTGTGATTGATTTAAAGAGTTGTTTTCTCTGATATTATGAAAATGAGGATGTCTATGAGTCATTAGAAACTCAAAAGCTAAAACGTAACTATCTTAGGAAGATTTAAGTAGTACCCAGAAATTAAAGAAAGACAACCCAACAATAAAAATAAAAATGAGAAAACACTTAAGCAAGACACAAAAAAGGATTCCCAGTTCACCAATGGCAAATAGTAGGAGAAATGAGGATGAAAAGTCTGATAGTGAACCAATAGGACACCCTGGACCCATAGCACAGGAGGTAACAAAACAGATCAATCAGGCTCTAAAAAAATTCAAATCAGAAATAATTTCCCAGTTAACCAGAGAGATGATGGGCAAAATGGAAGTCATGATTCGAGAGTCTAGAGCAGAAAATGACAAAAAAATAGATGAGGTCAAGACCATGATAGAAGCCATGAAGACTCAGCATAAGAAAGACATGGAAACAATGAATGCCCAACAGAGGAAAGAAATGGAATCCATAAAACAGATTCAAACAGATATCCAGGAGATTAAAAACTCTATTGAAAGTGTACGCAACAGAATAAAAGATTGCGAAGATAGAATTTCAGATATAGAAGATAGGATAGCAGTCAGTGACCGTGAAAAAAGAGGTCTCTTAAAAACAGTAAGGGATCATGAGAAATCAATCCAACAACTCCTAGATGATACAAAGAAAAATAACATAAGACTGATAGGAATTCATGAAAAAACAGGAGAAAACACAAATGATATAAAAAAGCTCTTCACAGAATTAATGACAGAAAACTTCCCAAACAGAAGGGAAGAATTAGACATACAGATAAGTGAGGCATATAGAACCCCAACTAGCCACGATCAAAAAAAATCTACACCTAGACATATAATAATCAAGATTCCAGAAATCCAACAGAAAAACAAAATACTACAAGCAGTAAGAGAAAAGAAACAAATCACATGCAAAGGGAAGCCCATTAGAATCACAGCAGACTTTTCAACACAAACCCTTAGGTCAAGGAGAGCCTGGAGTGAGGTATTCCAAGTCCTAAAAGAAAAGAATCTCCAACCTAGACTTTTGTATCCTGCAAAACTCTCTTTCAAAATAGATGGGGAAATAAAATACTTCCACGACAAAGAGCACCTGAGAAATTTCATGAACACCAAACCAGCACTGCAAGGAATTCTAAACAATATCCTAGAAAAGGACAACGAAATTCACAATAACATGAGGCCCAACAGACCAAATCAAATAGGCAAGGCAAGAAACTAAAAGGAGATGGGAGAAAAAGTAAAAAGAGTCAACAAATGGACAAAAACATGACAAGAATAAGTCAAAATATATCAGTTGTAACCATCAATGTTAATGGCCTCAATTCACCAATCAAGAGAAACAGATTGGCAGAATGGATTAAGAAGCAAAATCCAACAATATGTTGTATACAAGAAACACACCTAGTGCAAAAGGAAGTCCATAGACTGAAAGTGAAAGGATGGAAAACAATTCTCCATGCGTCAGGAGTCCAGAAAAAAGCAGGGGTAGCAATCTTATTCTCAGATAAAGTAAATTTCAAACCAAAACTCATTAAGAGAGACAAAGAAGGACACTACATCCTTGTAAAGGGAACAATTCAAGAGGAAGAGCTGACAATCATAAACATATATGCACCAAATATAAATGCCCCCAACTATATAAAACAAATATTAAGTAACATGAAAAACCAAATAAGCACTAATACAATTGTAGTGGGGGATTTAAATACCCCACTATCACAAATTGACAGATCTACTAGGCAGAAAATCAACAATGAAATAATAGAACTGAACCAAGCTTTGGAACACATGCTCTTAATAGATGTTTATAGAGTATTCCACCCCCCAAAATCAGAATATACATTCTTTTCGGCTGCACATGGATCATTCTCCAAAATAGACCACATACTGGCTCACAAAACAGGTCTAAATAAATGCAAAAAATGAAGTCATCTCCCCTGTTTATTATCAGATCATAGTGCAATCAAACTAGACATCAATAGCACAAGAAACTATAGAAACTTCACAAGCACATGGAAACTGAACAACACTCTCCTAAACAATCAATGGATTACAGAGGAAATTAAAGAAGAAATTAGACAGTTTTTACAAATAAATGAGAATGCCAATACAACATAAAGGAATCTTTGGGACACAATGAAAGCAGTGCTATGTGGAAAATTCATAACAATGAATGCCCACACTAGGAAAACAGAGCAGGCTCAAATACACAACTTAACGATAAAACTTAGACTCCTAGAAAAACAAGAGCAAGAAAAACACAAAGCTCGAACAAGAGAGGAAATTATAAAGATCCGAGCAGAAATCAATGCAATTGAAACTAAGAAAACGATACAAAAAATAAATGAAACAAAGAGCTGGTTTTTTGAAAGAATAAATAAAATCGACAAACCCTTAGCTAATCTTATCAAAAAAAAGGAAAGAAAAGGCTCAGATCCATGCAATCAGGAATGAAAAAGGCGAAGTCACAACAGATCCAAAAGAAATCCAGAGGATCATGAACACCTACTTTGAGAACCTGTACTCTAATAAAATGGAAAACACAGAAGAAATGGACAGACTTCTAGATACTTATGAATTACCAAAGTTGAACGAAGAAGATAAAAACATTTTAAACACTCCAATCACAATCAGTGAAATTGAAAATGTAATTAAAAATTTACCAACAAAGAAAAGCTCAGGCCCTGATGGATTCACTGCTGAATTTTACCAGACATTTAGAGAGAAGAACTACTACCATTACTCTTCAAACTTTTCAATGAAATCAAAAGGGAAGCTATACTTCCAAATTCATTCCTGGAAGCAAG